AGAGAGGCCTCAGAAATCGTTAATCAATCATCTGGTGCTTTAGAATAACATTTTCGTTCATTAAGGCAAGGACAAGTCACCCGAACCATCACGCAGAAGCGAGAAAGAAGGTGATGTAGAGAATATGATGAACGAATCAAAGTTGCTGAAAAATCGCAGCTCACCTGTATCAGGCATTGAACTGTCTGGCCTCAACGAAATGCATACGAATTCCGCGTTGATGTACAGCAAAGAGGTCTCTTGGAGAGCGCAAATGAGGAAAGAGGTAATAAATGGGTGGTATGATTTCACGTCATTTGTTGAAGCGAAACCAAGTGTACTGAAAATATTTTATAGATATTCTTGCCTGGGGAGATTTGCGACGATGAAAACACGCTAAACATGATCTTTCACCAACTGTGTGCCGATTGCTTCGGCAACATCGACCCTCTGCGGTTGGACTTAAAGGAACGCAATGAGATCGTGCAGGTTTTAGGTACATGCGCTGGCGGCCATACTGAGTTCAGCATGTGAATAAATTATCTGTTTCCGTCTGTTTTCAGAGAGCAACGGAATCAACATGCAGAATTATTCACAGAAACAGGTCAGTCGTGCCATCAAGCAACAAGTGCTGCAGATTTCTCGACGTCTGCCGATCTACTTCAGCCGCATTTACACCGTAAAGGTAGAAAGCCTGACCGTGCGGTCCAGCATTTGGAACCTATTTTGTGTACATCGTCGTTTTCATAGTCTGAGAAACATGTCGAACCGATGCCTCATTGTTTGGCCATATCAGAGAACGGAATCTGGTTGCTGTACAGAATGGCGGACGGCAGAAGGAAAGTTGTACGAAACTTTCCGTACGACTTTTTCCTTAGCTTAAACGGGCTCTTCTGTTGACCCCTGATCCGGTTCGTTTCAGATTTGACGACGTCGAAAGCGCGAAATCAAAACGTTCCACGATCACCCTGACGCTGTGCAACGGAATGAAGGAAGTATTCGAAACGAGAGACGCGGCGGAGGTCGCAGAGCTGATCTGCCAATTTCTTTACGGCCCAAACCAGGTGAGTTTGCTCTACAAGCAAGGGCTATAGTTCTTGTGCTAAAGCGGAGAAGATGCGTCAAATATAACGACAGAGAAATCGATGTCCTCGTCCTGATCAAGATTAGGCGTTCAACGTTTCGATGTAAATATCATTCTGGATTATCGGATAAATCAAAGCTTCAATATTTCGTTCACAGGGTACCATCCTCCTGCTTGATGGTCAGAATGCACCGGCATCCTGGATGAACGCCATCGGTTGATTATGCACGTCAAGAAGGCATTAATCATCCAGTTCAGTGATAACGCCAACAATGATAAATGAGACGAACTCGGTGTAGATCGGATTAACCTTATCAATCTGTCACCAAGAATCTGTTTTATCGACAGCACAGACATAAAGCTCTCTTTCTGGCTCCAAAAGTACTAACCGTTGTGAGCGACCAAAGGACTTCCAAAGTCAACCAACTTGTTTACATTAAAAACAACCCATGAGACGCAGGCCTAAACGTTGATAGTCGTAAATCACCTGATCGATAAAAATATTTTCGTTGTGTACGCAGATACCGCGTTTTATGCAGTTTCCATAATCTGAGGCTTTTTTCTTTCCCGTTGGAGTTCAGACTGAGGGCAGCACAAATCAGGAATCATTTTATTGGTCAATCGGACGACCAGCAGAGGCATCTATTCTGGCCATCTGCAGCAGTTGGTAAGGTCAAAGCCAGAAGTCCTCTATGTTTTCTACCCGTTTACTGCAATTGAATGATGGCGTCGTTGGAGATCATAATTCCATAAGCATTAAAACTGTTCAACCTCCGTTGTCGTACAATTTCCCTGTTTCCATTGCAGATCTGTTATGCTGGACCGTTTCCGCTCAACTTTCGACTTCAAGGCGTTAAAGAGGAGATCGGCTTTCGATGTTGCGTTGCATAGGAAAGCCATTAGGTAACAGAAGTGACTATTCACTCAGGCAACACATCCGTACACTCCAGATCAGCTGGATAACTGGCCGGATGTTTCACTTGGTGCCTCATTTTACATTCAAGTTGCATTTGGGTTTACTGGAAAAAGGTGGCTTGAAATGTTGCTGGTAACGAGAATTGGAAGCCTAAGTATTCCTCTGAGCTTGCTCCATATAATGGCACTGCCCACATTCTTCCACAAGCCTGGGAAATTATTCAAAGAGGCCACGTATCCAACTGTGACTAGTGACAATTCACTTAGTATGGATAAGCCGCCGTTTGCCAGAGGGATTATTTGCGTATTGTCTGATTGAGAAAAGCTCGTCTTTTTTCGAGAAGCGCGCTTCCTACGGTGTGTCTTCGTAATTTTTCTGTTTACACTTTAAAGTTGTTATAGTATTTGAAACGATTAATAAAAAGTTATAAATTTTCCTGTTATCAGCCGAAGGCTGTCGTCGCTTTTCGGTGCTGATGTTGGGCTTTACGCTGCGCTCGTCTATCG